ATGCAAATAGTAATCTTTTTATCAGCTGATAAATCAACGTTGTGAATGGATTACTTTGAAAACAAAAACAAACTCGAACAAAAATTTAATTTGTATCTTGAAGCATTCATTCTTAGTCTATTTCTTTCTTTGTTTATTACCTAACTCTTATATTTTTTCAAAAGTCAGACATATGTATTAAATTTTCTTCTTCTTTTTAAAATCTCAAAAAGAAAAGACAAATTTTCAGTTAATTCTTTGCACTTCTATGTTTACAAACAGCATTTAAACTTTCTATTTTTCATAATTTCCAAAATAGACAGTTGTTTAGATGCACACTATGCTATCGAGTTTATACAACAGTTTTATGCCTGTCCTAACAAATGACAAATTGAGAAGTTCACTTTTCTTTTTTCGAAAATTTGATGTCAAATTTTCAAATTACAGCTATAATACATTATAACATTAAAAGTAATAGAATTTTGGCTCAAGTGAGAACAAAATTTTGTATGAAAAGTTATTGAAGCTTGTAATAAATATTACTGCTGATTATATTGTCAAGAAAAGAAATTTTATTTTAGAGTAGCAAAGTTTTACGAAAAAAAAAGCATATTTATAACAAGGGTGAAGTAATAACTGACAATATTAATTTAGCATGAAAAGATAAATTGAAAAAAAAAAGCTTAAATAAATCAATCTAATAAAAAAACGAGATACGTAATTTAAAAATGCAAAGTTCATCATGGCTGATGAATTTTGAAGTACAGTAATTTTGTCAAAATTTGAAAGTTTCGAATTGTTAAAAGTTCATATCGTAAATTCATCATAATTTTGTGTTTACGCTTATCTTTGAATTTGACTGATTGCTTTTTATGATAGGCACTTTCGAGTAATTTGAAAATAACGTTTGACATAAAAATACAGCTATGAAATTCTCAAAGAATTGGGCTAATGTTTTAGAACATATGGGTAAGCAAAAAGTCAATAAACAAATAAATAAATATAAGAAAAGTAATTGAACTTTATGCGATGAAAAAATTGAATTCAGATATAAATGTTAAAAGATGAGTAAAAAAATTGGTCCAGGCAGAGATTTTTAACAAATCAAAAGATATAATTGATTAAGATGCAAAGTGAAGTGAAAAAAAATTGGAAGAAAATCTTTAGAAAGCAATTTACAAAGAAAGCATGGCAAAGTAAATAAATAGGCTAGTGCTAAAATTTGAACGATACTGTATAGAAGGTTTAAGATATGTTAAAACTTAAAATAAAATTACTATTTTAATTTTTTCTTCCATTTAAAAATTTTTCTCATTTTTATTTGTAAGGTTAAATTTGATGGATAACAAAGCAAATGGCTTCTACAAAAATTTTTTCTTATCATTTTTAATTTAAACAAATAAAATAAAAAAGTGAAAAGATGTTTATGGCAAAAGTTATGAAAAAATTCTTAATTTTATATTTTTCATTTTAAAAATTGTCTTCACACTGCGTAACACGTATACTTGATATAATATCCTTTTCGCTGCTTCTTGGACGTATTCGATATCTATTGTTTATGGGCATAAGGAGTGGATATGATTGACTGATAACATAGTGTTAGAAGCTATTCTAAGAATTTATCTTCTAATCAAACATAAAGTACAATTATTTCTCAAGTGACTAAACTTATCATTATTAATAATTAATACTGATTATTATTATTGATTATTATTGACTATTACTGATTATTATTATTATCATTATTATTATTATTATTATTATTATTATTATCAGTGTTATTGTTATCATTGTCATTATTATTACTGAGTAGTAGCGATTAATGGTATGAATAGATTAATTTGCTGAAGAATGGAAATAATGGATGAAGATACATATTTATTGAGTTTGTATTGTATGGCATGCATATTATGTTTAACATGAATTCATCTTACTTGTAAGACTGGAAATTTTAATGAAACTTTACTTCTATTTCATTATTTTCGTTCCCATCAAGCTTATTCAAAAGGAAAATTCCGTAAATATCCATTTGCTTTCTGCGAGCAAAATGAAAAAAGAAGTATGCAACAAACATTTTAAATCTCCACCCATATAGTCATTCCTTAGGGAATTAAAGCTTTAGGCTAAAAAACCTATAGAAATTTAGTTTCGTGGACAATATATCAGAAGGACGGTAGATAGATAGATAGATAGATAGATAGATAGATAGATAGATAGATACATACATAGGTAGATAGATATGTGGATGAATGGATGAATATTAATTTCATTTATTCATTTCATATACATATATGACTAAGAGCTAACTATTCATCAAGTCCGCTTACTGATCCATTCATTCTCACATTCATTTTATCCACTCAATTATTCACTCAATCATCCACTCATTCATCTACTGAATGCTATTCATGTTGAGCTGATAGCCAATTTTTCCTTTTAGCTTGGGCTTCTTTTCATTGAATAGTTTAACTTAGCTTTACATCTATACCAATTTTTCACGTACACACACTATTACATACATGCATCACACACATACATGAAATACACTCGTCAATTATGTACAGACATACATTTAGACATACATACATACACACACACACACACACGCTCACTCGCATATGCATTTTATTCACACGTATTCAGTTAGAAATTTTTAAAATGCATCGAAAACAAATAGCACTTTGATTTTTGCTCCAAACATTCTAATATCAATTACTATTAATAAATATTATTGTTATTCAGTACTGGTATTACCGTTATTATTGTATTTGTGGTCAGTTATTATTACTGCCTAACTGAGAAGTATTTCACATCAAAACACAGTTTTCAACATTACCAATTCTGAATTTTGATGAATTCCAGTAATTGTCACTATTATTATTACTACTGTATACTATACAAAGTTCTTTAGTTTATTGTCCCATTTTTTTTTGTACGAAATTCTACAAGACTGTTTCGTGTACATCAACCTGACTTCATAAGCTTTGCTTCTGAATTTAAGTCATTTTTCCCACTTTCTATTCTCGAATGAATTTCACATTTTTCAACTTATTTAATAACTATCTACTGACCTAAATCTATTCTTTATTTATTTCTGATTAACTATTCTGTTTGTTAAATGGAAATATTAATATCTAATTACTACTGACGTTAATACATTTTGTATCTGGTATTATTAATGATCAAACAGTATTAAACATAATAATAACAATAACAATAATTAAAACTGCAAATATTACAATAACGAATATTACTACTGAAAATTAGATCAGTACTTATTGTATCTGAAGTAGCAACAATACCTAGTGACATATTTACTTGCATTCTATGTTATGTTCCTATAAAATTTGTGTTGTCCACGTATACTGTCACTGTTTTATTGTATTTTGCTACAATTAATACTAAATAATCGGTATTTTTTGGCTTTATGACAAATAATAATCATTCTATGTTATTGAATTGTGGTAACTGGAATACGTCAACGAATTTACGGCTAGTATTAGACTGGTAACAATAAAAGCAATTATAATCACAAATATTAAACGAGAAGTTGACATATTGGTAATTGGTAATTATCCACCAATCAAACATGGCAATGCAGCAGCATAATAAGAAACGTGTTTCACTTACTACCCTTAGACGTGACTTGAATTTACATCACTTGTTTCGGCACAATTTGACCGATTTCAGTTCACCCACAAGAACTGCTACGGCTGCTACAGCCATGGGTCATCTGAAACCAGGGTTACTGGGTGGCTTAAATTGCCAACCAAGACGTGAATCTTTTCTTTACCGACCTGCTATTGACGAACGTGAATCAAACATTCCTGGCCGTTCAACTTCACGTACGTCGTCAATTATCTCCAACGCAGCACATGAGTAAGCTTATCTTCTTCACTCATTGTAATCTTGCTTCTTTTCTCCAAAAATGACTAAATCATTATTTAAAGTAAGAAATGGTTTTCAATCTCACTCAACGTGTTTCTTAATCGGTCACTATCAAAATATCATTAATCTACTGTTTCCTAGATCACAGATGTTTCGATAACTGTCATGTAATTTAAGTTCTCTGGCATCAAATCATTATGTAATTCTCACTGATTGATAAGCAGCTTATCAATCAATGATAAAATTTGTAGATTAATAAGCTGTTTCCAGTTGATAATAAACAAAGTATGTTTTATTAAGTCTTTTTCTTGAGTCATTGAAGTAATTTTCCCTTATGAACGAAGACGTAAAATGACATATTTTTTTAGTTACTCTTAAATTTACTTTATCGAGCTACTTCTTAATATAGTTGATATACTGACGACAATATATTTTATTTTTCAGATCACTTTACTGCTTTAGTGGTCTTCGTTCTTCTGTTTCATATTAATGTGAATATTAAATAAATAGTGACGCAAGAATAGAGGGTAGGTTAATTTTCTTTCCCGCTTTATTGATTCTGGCTCACGACTGTATTCTGGCATTCCGACTGTGATCGCGCTCAGATTTGTTGTACTGATTTCCGTTGCTTCAAACCCATGAAATCCATAGCGGTCATCGAATCAGATGCTTTTAAGCGTTTTCTTGAGAACTATCAATTGAATGTGCGCCTCGACGTGATCAGATAGACTGATCTTCTTCGCATAGCGTTTGTGGAAGTTCGTTACAATCCCATCCCAAGTCAT